TAGGGCGACGACGGTGACTTGCTCCTGCGTGATCAGGATTCGGGGAGTAATCAGCGGCGGCAACGATAAGGCGATTATCATGTCGCACGTCCAGGTGTGCTGTGAGCTCGTCCACCCATATAAGCAATATAAAAAAAATTAGGCTACTTATAGCGCAATAATTAAAATCCCAATCGGACTGCTATAATGGCTGTCCGAATATGATGATGGCGGTACTTGTATCACCGATCAGAATAGTGAGAGAAAACGTTATAACCGGTTGGAACTCTACACCTATTTTTTTTTTAAATAAAATTTTAAGCAATAAACCCGTCCAGTTAAATTGTTATACTTTTTTGTTATTGCTCTGTTATGTAGTCATACGAAGAGTATAAAATATAATACAGAGTTGAACCTCATGTTTCAAGATGCATAGTAGTATATAACGTTATGAAGTCCATGGGCTGCGGTTAAGCAAATGAATCAACGAATGGGAGCAGCACGAACATCACAATCAAATATCACTACAATTTTAGACCTTTCTTCTATTAAAATAGGAACACATCTTCCGTAACCATATATCGAATAGAGTGGAAATTAGATTTTTCTTTTCTTTTTCCTACCTAAGCTGATGGTCTAGAGAGATCATGTCAGCGTGGCCGGGCTAGTAGGTGAGCTCACGGGGCTCAAACGTGACGATGTTGCTAACACGAACCCCAGCAAGAGCCCTGCTTCGCAGAATCTACCACCGGATCGGAAGCGCGAGCCACTGAGAAGATCCGGCGAGAAACTCAGTGCACTGTGTTTGTGGGCTAATTTACTCGCGGAGCCCTTCGTCGCAAGCGACGGGTTCGACGAGAACGATGACCGGGAGATTAGATCGTTAAGTACTTTTGAATTGGAAACTATTGAATTTTTTTTTTATTGCTTCGATGGGTGGACGAGCTCACAGCCCACCTGGTGTTAAGTGGTTACTGAAGCCCATAGACATTCATAAAATAAATGCGCCACCCATCATGAGATATAAGTTCTAAGGTCTCAAGTATAGTTACAACGGCTACCCCACTCTTCAAACCGAAACCTTCTTGTCAGAAATACTGTTCGAGCTAGAAAACTAACGATGGATCCTCGTCGTGTCTCTGTCGGTCCTATCCTCGGGTCTCTCGTAGCACGCACAGAAGTAGCAGGCCACGCCGGGGGGGCCGCAGCAGAACAAGCCCCACAACCATTTATTGAGGACGCCACCAGCCCTCGACCAGACGCTAGGCCGATCGTGGTTGTAAACGAAATCACGGTTCATAGCTACATTTTTGATTTATTTTGACATATTATGCTTACATTTTTCGTTGTGACGTATTTACGAAGGAACTTAAGTTGAAATAGGTCGTATTCATATTCATTTTACGGTTAATTCCTGGTACAAATATATAAGTATATTGAGGGGTGAAAGGCTATTTGATTTAAGCGACATTTCGCTTAATAAGCGATCTTATATATATAAAAATGAATTGCTGTTCGTTAGTCTCGCTAAAACTGGAAAACGGCTGGACCGATTTGGCTAATTTTTGTCTTGATTTATTTGTGGAATTCCAGAGAAGGTTTAAAAGTATTTAAGTTTATTTTATACAAAAGTTAGGTCTTTTATTTATCGATTGAGGCACTACGAAGTCTGCCGGGTCAGCTAGTAAGCGATATTTATTTTTATAATTCATAGTGCGCTTTATTCGGCACGCGCAATAATCACAAAAAAAAAAGATTCCAGTGGTAGATTCTTCGAACCTCTTCTCTTGCTAAGGCCAGTGTTTGCACCTTCTCTCAGGTTGAGCCCCGTGAGCTCACCTACCTAGTCACAGCGTAGCTGAATTAATCCCTTAGGTTAGCAGAGAATAAGTAGATACTTTTTTTGTTGTATTCTGTTCCCTTTTAGTAAAGTATAATTTATTAATTGTCAAAACTTGTATGGTTTTAGATTACCTATTATTAATATACCTATTATAATTATAGTTATTTTTTTTTTTTTTTTTTTTTTTTTTGGTTTCATGTGTNCTCACAGCCCACCTGGTGTTAAGTGGTTACTGGAGCCCATAGACATCTACAACGTAAATGCGCCACACACCTTGAGATATAGTTCTAAGGTCTCAGTATAGTCACAACGGCTGCCCCACCCTTCAAACCGAAACGCATTACTGCTTCACGGCAGAAATAGGCGGGGCGGTGGTACCTACCCGCGCGGACTCACAAGAGGTCCTGCCACCAGTAATTACGCAAATTATAATTTTGCGGGTTTGATTTTTATTGCACGGTGTTATTCCTTCACCGTGGAAGTCAATCGTGAACATCTGTTGAGTACATATTTCATTAGAAAAATTGGTACCCGCCTGCGGGATTCGAACACCAGTGCACCGCTCGATACGAATGCACCGGACGCCTTATCCTTTAGGCCACGACGACTTCAAACTTATTTTGTAATATTGTTTTTTCAAATAAACAAATAAACAGATATATAACACAGCAATATGCAGAAGGTTAGATCTAGTTAGAACCGGGTGTCTTCGTCCACCAATCTAGTGCAATAAAAAATAATCACCTATTTATTTTTAGATTGTTCTCGTTTAACGTTTTTATAATATGTTTGGCAGTATTTTTTAAATAATATATTCCCACGACATTGTGTTGTTTACATTCCCACGACATAATTAACAAAAAATCTATTAAATGAAACGACTGAGGAAGCTTAAACTATTCACTAGTATGACATTAGATTTATATTACACATCGTATATAATTACCTATTTTGGGAAAGCAAATTGCCTATCCCATGTAAGCCAACATTCAGACATTCACACTTAGAATGTAAGTATGGTTTTGTTTAATCCTACTATTAAATTTTATTAATAACTAGCGACCCGACATCGCTTCGCTTCGGAAACATTAAATTTTATTATTTATAGCTGAGTCCCGCGATGTTACCCGCGGTTATTGTCGTACCACGGGCGCCACCGCAGGGCGAAGCTAGTCTAAAAAAAGTAGCCTAAGTCACTCCTTATATAACCAGCTACCTATCAGTGAGACTCGTCAAAATCGGTCCAGCCGTTCCGGAGATTAGCCGGAACAAACAGATACAGAAAGTTCGAGAAAAAAAAAAAAAAAATTAGTATATGTACTGTGAACATTCAGTAAAAAGTGGTTATTTTATTATTACAAACAGACACTCCAATTATATTTATTTGTATAGATAATAGACTAAACAAGCAGAAAGACTTACGCGCGTTATGAATTACGCAGAACAGATCAAAAGAATAAAACAAATTATAAAGATCGTGACTTATATGGTGCACATATCACATCATATCAAATAATGGTAAAAACATATATACATAACCATAATGTGAATGAAATTTATTACATTAATGATGTTAATATGAACGGTTATAAAGCGACTCTCTTTTCTTAAATCTCACTAAGGCATCGCTAGCGTAGGTATTTAAATATATATTTATAGCCATTAATAAGGTCGTACAGTAATTAATAGTATACAATATGATCACGAAAACTGCGTGTTTCCTACATCAGCCAGAGTCGACTTCCACTCAAACATTACAATGCCGTGTCTAACAGTTTATGACGTCAACATTAAGAAGTCCATGTAATGAGGATTTAATGAGACAAATATAGATTTTTATTAAAATCGCTTTTGAGACTTAATAATGCATTTATTATTTTATTTGATTGCTATCGTGGTCGCGGACTGAACCGATAACATAACATTGTCTCGCATGAAGCAACATCGCTTTCTTGGATATTGGGAGCGCTTTAGCTGCCGTTTTCTTCAAACAAAAGAAAAAAAGCAATATTTTTTCCCGCAAATGACGCTCAGTTGATAACAAAGTCCAACATTTTCAGACAAAGGTAGGTATATCAAGCAACAAAGAAAATCAGTGTTGTGCCAAAGTGATTTTTTTACCATATGTCTAAACTTGATTCACAATGTTTTAGATCTGTCAAAATCGACCAACATTTATCGCTGCAGACATCTATTGGCAAAGATCGTAAATATAATTGCGCATGTCACAATTGCGGCAATTAAATTACGAGATTAAACCATAAAAAGTACCTTTAATCTGCGAAACCCTTTGAAAATCCTCAAATTCATTGGTATAAAGATTCTAAAAAGATGTTGCTTCGTTTGAAGTTTTAGGGGATGCTGGGACACGCGCTTAGTAGGTAATCTCTATGTTACCATACCTTTAACATAGCACGTAATTTCATTAATTACACAGATTCTTCTTTAACTGACACCGTAAATAGCATACATGTAATATCAGAATAATACCCAATTACCATACTTAAGGATCGATGATTCATAGACCTAAATCGGCTGATAATCGGACTCTCTATAAAAGTCTCAGAGCTTACAAAGAAAAACATTCAGAAAAAAATTCAAAGAAAGAACAGAAAAGAAAATAAGTAAAGTCACATACAGTTTTAAATAAAATTTATATTTACTGAAAACACTTTCTAATAACCATTTCAACACCTATGTATTAAGGGATTTGTAGAGTAGACTAGACTAGACTGTGCTTCTGAGATTTTTGTGTGCTTCGTGCGAAGTTTTTAACGTTCTCGATAGCGTAAACGTTAACTCAAATTTGTATGGAGTTGAAACGTTTGTCTACGTTTGCCTAGGGGCTCTATTTCAACTGCATACAAATTTGAGTTAACTTTTACGCTATCAAAAACGTTAATAAACTCGCATTAAGCACACTGACCTCCATGAACGACTCACCAGTGATTAGGCCGCACAAACGTCTGCCTACGAGACCAAACAAAACATAATGAAACTTAATGACACAATTCATAATAAAATTATTTATTATTATCTCAATCATATCTTGGGCACACTAATAGCAGTACTCGATTACGGAGCCTTGGAGTCATCTCACGAAGAACTAATGACAAACCAGCTACAACTATTCATTACACGATTAAAAAAACGCGAAACACAACCTCCTAAGTGCAAAGCCATTGATTGAGCATCATTTGTCTTGTAAGCACGCGCTTAGGAAATAATAAGGCGCCAAAACTGATATTCTACATTTAGTTTTTTTTTTTTAAACCAGTATTTTAACTGACACAACCTTTTTTGTTATTTTAAACTTTTTTTTAATAATGAACCTTCGCGGCTATCTACTATTTGGCCAGTTTCTGTGGCTGGTGGCCGTTTTGAACGGAAAAACCTTGCAAGGTATCCCTGGTTACGGCAGGAACTTGATTATCAAATCCTTGCCCGCCATTGAAGATTATCAAAGTCCCGTTTATGAAGTGTACATGGAGCCTTATTTATATGTGAGTACTTTTGAAGTATAATGAAGATAGTGGCTGTTTTTGTGACGATATAATATCAAACGTACTACCTATGAATTGATTTTGTTACTTCAATTTGATTATTTACCAAAGATTAAAATACTTTACAGCTTTAGCGACCACAGACGACTTTGACGAATGTTGGAAGTATTAAAACGAAAATATGAAACTCAGGGTTAAACTGTTAAACTATTTTTGAATACGTCTGAATTTCAAACTACGATTCGCGAAAAAATAAATAAAATACAATACTAAATGTTTGTATCAACATTTACTATAGAAATGTATAGCTTTCAACACTCTTGAACGCTATTTTTTTTTTCAACTCTAAAAGCTCTAAAATTTGTTGTTAGGATGAAAGTGTAATCGATAAATAATGTGATAATAATGCAGGTACGTTTCTAAGTAATTAGTTTCTCCAGTTTGCGACTCCAATGACTTTCAACGTTTTATCTATCAAAATATTTGTATAACTTTTTTTGTTTTAGAAATTTTGAATCCACGTCGTTCGTTATAAACAAACTAAAAACTAAAATAGAAATGTGTTGTAAAGTGTTTGACAAATCATGCAATATGGATAAAAACCAACACCGTTTTTAATAAGAAACGATCAAGTTAAATTAAAATAGAACCGATACATAGCGAATTAAAAACAATATTGACGACACAATTCAAAAACAAACAGAATAAAGTTAAAATTTAAATAATCATCGCAAAGGTATTACGAAACTGATATTAATAAGAAAGTCTTGTATACGTAACCTACAGTATATGTAATGTATATAGTATATGTAAACTATAGACAGTAATTAATTTTAAAAGTATTGTTGTTATTTACAACATTTTTTCGCAATGCTATAAGAGTGTTTAGTTTTAAGATTTAGCTAATAATATTAAGTCTGATAATATGTAAATAGACGATATTAATAACGTGAACAGTTTGGCGTTTTATCCGTATTTTTTTTTCTTCCCTCTTTGCTGGTAGCCTAAAGGATTATTCCCTCTAACACTAGGAGCAGGCTGAGGAGCCCCGGTAACCGTAGGTACTCGTCGAACTCGACAAAGAGGTCGACATGCAACCTAACCCATGCATCAGCCCACTGAGTTTCTCGCCGGATCTTCTCAGAGGGTCGCGATTCCGATCCGGTAGTAGATTCATTCGCGAAGCAATTGCTCTTCAGTTGTTAGGTCTCCTTCGGAGGAGCTCGGGCAGTTGTTAGCAAATCCCACCCCTCCTGGCTGAGCCTTTGCGCGCCCACCTGTCCTGGTGAAACTGGAAAGGCCTTCGGGCCACCAGTAAAATTTCAATCACAAAAAAAAAAGGATTATTCCAGCTACACGCGGACGGTTAGCAACAAAATAATCGATTTTAAAAGACATATTTGTTCCAGGCACTGGGTCAAACAACATACCCTTTGAACGACAACAGAGCTGAGAAACAGATCGATTTGTCTATGGTAAGTTTCATGGTCAACTTTAAGAAATATAATCGATCATTATTGACAAAACGCAACTCGCAAATTCTTGTATTGAATACTGGTGGTAAAACTTGTTGAATTCGACATACGAACTATGTGCTTAGTGTGAGTTTTTTAACATTCTCGATCGCGTAAAAGTTAACTCAAATTTATATGGAGACCTTTACCGCTAAAGGCGCTGTTCCAACTGCATACAAATATGAGTTAACTTATACGCTATCGAGAACTTTAATGAACTCTCACTAAACACACAGGTGCCACAACCGTCTTGACTATTTTGAACGCGAAACAAAAACCTTGCCAATCCTATAGGATTACGATAGTCGTTTTATTAGTCCTATTTTCCTGGCTAAAAATCCTGTCTTCTTCTGTGCACCTGGAAACAGATACACACACCCCCGATTACTCTCTTTAAATCCATACCCTGGGCCAGGAAGGTCAAGTACCTGGGCGTTACCCTGGATGCATCGATGACATTCCGCCCGCATATAAAATCAGTCCGTGACCGTGCCGCGTTTATTCTCGGTAGACCCCATGATCTGTAGGCGGAGCAAAATGTCCCTTCGGAACAAGGTGACACTTTACAAAACTTGCATAAGGCCCGTCATGACTTTCGCGAGTGTGGTGTTCGCTCACGCGGCCCGCACACACATAGACACCCTCCAATCTCTACAATCCCGCTTTTGCAGGTTAGGTGTCGGAGCTCCGTGGTTCGCGAGGAACGTTGACCTACACGACGACCTGGGCCTCGAATCCAGAAATACATTAAGTCAGCGTCGGAACGGTACTTCGATAAGGCCATGCGTCATGATAATCGCCTTATCGTTGCCGCCGCTGACTACTCCCCGAATCCTGATCACGCAGGAGCCAGTCACCGTCGACGCCCTTACGGATCCATCAGATCCAATAACCTTTACATTAGACGCCTTCAGCTCTAACTCTAGGAGCAGGCTTAGGGACCTCGGTAACCGTACTCGTCGAACTCGACAAAGAGTTCGCCGTCCAACCTAACCCATGAATCAGCTCGCTGAGTTTCTCGCCGGATCTTCTCAGCGGGTCGCGATTCCGATCCGGTAGTAGATTCATTCGCGAAGCGGCTACTCTTGAGCTGTTAGGTTTCCTTCGGAGGCACTCGGATAGCTGTTAGCAAATCCCACCCCTCCTGGCTGAGCCTTTGCTCGCCCACCTGTCCTGGAAAGGCCTCCGGGCCACCAGTAATCCTTCAATCATAAAAAAAAAAAAAAAAACAGAGACACGAAATTTCATGAGAATCTTTTGCCCAACTAAGCCTTTTTTATTGCTTATGTGAGCAGACGAGCATACAGCCCACCTGATGGTGAGTGGTTACCATCGCTTATGGACGTCAGCCAAGCCAGGGGCACAGCGAAGTCACTGCCTGCAAAAGCTTAACAAACTAACGCAGTTTCTTATTGACGTTTGAATTCGAATATCTTTTTTTAATTGGTTTACATATTTATTTCGTTAAATTTAATTTGAATATATTCGGATAATTAAACATTACACGGCCATTAAGCAGCGGCTCGTTTCGTAGTTTTTTTTTGTTTTTCTGTTTTAATCACGACTCCACGATTCGTTTACTTCCTCGTGAGCTACGTTCAAATTTTTGTTCATTAGCAATTTGTCTTACTGACGAACTAATTTTGAATATTTATAAATGGTACTTCGGCATTTTATAATGATATTTTCTTGCATTTTCGCGTTTTTTTTTAAAGGAGAAGGCTCCTATTGTTTTCGACTCGACCTTGCCGGCTGTACACACATTGACTGTGCAGAATAAATTAGTAAAATTTCATTCTAAACTACCTTAAGATAGATGATAATCTTAAGATACCTCAGCTATTTCAGCTGTTTTAACTGCTATAAAATATAATGCCAACAAAATGCTTAATTCTGGCGAACTTCAAAATATTTTAGCAAGGCGATTAAAGTTACAGATGTGGATATTTTACTTGATAGCCTTGTTAAATAGTATAATAACAAAAAATACTTTTATTATTAAGACAGTGTGCGTTCGTATTTATTATATTTAGGTTGTACACGTAAAAAGAAAAATATATGCTATCAACACTTTCACGCTCATTTGTACGTTCAAAAGTGTATTTGTTAAAAATATTAATTAGCCACTTCGTTCCTTATTTTTTATAGACTTAATTAGAGGAGGTTCTATGGTCGGCTTCTAAAATTTTTCGACCCATTTTTTATTCTCAATTTGTAGTTGGGTTTAGTTTTATTAATCACTAGCTGTACCCGTCCGCTTCGCTGGGCATTTAAAACTAACATTATTATTTCTCACTCCCACAAAGATTCTCATCATTAACGCCCCCGCAACTGGTGTAGGGAGTCCGACACTCATTTATATATTAGCCTATCCATTAAGTACATGTACTTTCTACATGGATACCAAGTTTCAAATCAATCGGATGCATAGTTCGGTAGTTATAACGGAACATTCGTAAAAACCACTGTAGATTTATATATTAGTACAGATTATCACTACATTTTAGCTACTTTAAAGGTCTATGATTTTACCTTACCACTGAAGTTTGTGTATATGTCAAGAAACACGACGCATGCTAAATAAATAAATACACATTAAGGTAACTAATTAGGTGGGTATGTTATTTTAATAACATGGTAATAGCAATGGATGCTGTGCCGCGTAGCGTGACATTATCCTGGCCATTAAGTCGGTGACCGACACAATTATGTAACACCAAGGATTTTGTAATTAATTACTGTTATTATAATGTAATAGGTTTTCTCGATGTATGTTATTGTTTGGTGTAGCATCCAATTACAATAAATTAAAATAAAATTATATATAATTTGCGTAATTACTGGTTTTGTGAGTCCGCAGGGGTAGGTTCACGGCAGAAATAGGCGGGGCGGTGGTACCTACCCGTGCGGACTCACAAGAGGTCCTACCACCAGTAATTACGTGAACATTTGTTAAGTACGTATTTCAATGCGGGATTCGAACACCGGTGCATCGCTTGATACGAATGCACCTGACGACCTATCCTTTAGGCCACAACGACTTCAAATTACGCAACCTACTATTAAATGAAACCATAACATTCATAATTTCCCAACAGGCACCACACCACGCACCCGGTTTGCAAGCCGTCGTCCATTTAATCGCTGATGAGGAGTCAGGCGTTTCCGGGGATCTGATCTTCACCCAGATCGTGCCTAACGGACCGGTGACAATCGAAGGGAACGTTACAGGCTTGGCCCCGGGACTACATGGCCTCCACGTCCACCAAACGGGCGACATAAAGGATAACTGCAAAGAGATCGGACCCCACTTTTTTGGTTACTATGTAAGTAAATTTGGGGCAGTCAGCGCAAAAGTGTCCTAAGCTTATCATAGTTAGTATGGAGATAATGAGTTTGAAATTTTCTTTTACACTGCTTCATAGGCAAAAACAATACGCGCAAAAATAATGTTTACAAAGCCATCTGTTCTCTATGGGTGAGACTAAAGTTAGGCCGGTTTTGCATCAAAATTTATTATGTTTTAAATAAATTGCAATATATAAGCGCGAATATGAAAAATTGTGGATTAGGCCACTTTTGCACTGACAGTCTCATTTAAGAGCCACTACGGACAGAAAAATACAATGAATAATCCATAGTTTTGCAAACCATGGATACTTGTATACTGGTATAACATAAACCACTGAATTTCTCGCCGGATCTTCTCATTGGGTCGCGTTTCCGATTCGGCGGTAGATTCTGCGAAGCACTGCTCTTACTAGGGTTAGTCTTAGCAACACTCGCGGTTTCAGCCCCGTGAGCTCATCTACACGTTGGGGTGAAGCTGAAATAGTCTCTCAAGGCTATCAGCATAGGTAAGAAAAGAAGTTATAAATAACCTAGTATCGGTGTTTGATAGCTTAGTTACATCATAAATTTACGAATACCACTTCTTGTGTTTTATTTTAATTTAATTAGAATATTTATGAAGCAAACAAAGACATAAAAAAACTGTACGTCTTGCCATGATTAGAAAAACTCACGAGCCGAAACTGAATATTAGGTAAATCAAGATATCAATAACATTAAGAAGTTAATATTACACATATTAAACTATTGATATGAGGAACATTTAAAAAATATTTTGACTGGTAGAATTGGCTAGAATAATTCGGGATATACCACGACCTCTAATCTCCTTTCGGATAAATGTACTGGGCCCAAAAACCGTCCTTCAGCTCTTCAAACAGGACTACGTGATACGATCAAGGTCGAGTAGGAGTTAAGGCATCTGAAGAAATGAAATAAATGGCAGCTTGTTGTTTTTATTCTAGTTACTTTATCTACCTATACCATTCATTTTTGCAAATTAATAAAATGGAGTTTTTGTTGCAAAGTCATAGATGGCAGTGTCATATAAACGTTAAATTGAATGATAAAAATAACAGTACCGTCCTAATAACTATGTTACCTATACGTAAGTATTTAAAACATAGAACATTTATATAAATACTACAAGTCTTCGATCATATTATATTATTTCAGAATTGGTATCTAATCAATTTGATTTTCGAATTGACCAAATAACCAGCCATTGCTTTATATTACTAAGCAAGACATGGCGCTGAAATTTAAAATATTGCCAGCACTAATTTAAATGTATCAACAACGTTTTCATTATTTTCAGATCAGAAACCCGATGGTGAAACTCAGGCTAAATCCCTATTCCGCTTAATACTCGAACATGCTGCGCTGACTCCGCATGACATGCCAATTTAATTACTTACATAATCATTAATTTCAGGGTCGTCATGGTGGTCCCCGCGACCCAATTCGACACGTTGGTGACCTCGGCAACATCAAGGCGGAGGAAGAAGCCACTCTTAATTTGAAGATCGTTGATCACCTTATTTCGTTGGCTGGACCTCGTTCTGTTGTGGGAAGGTAACTTTTTACACGACTTTAAAAAAGAGGCCAAACTAGAGATATGCACAATTACTTCTTCTTTTTTTATTACCATTATAGGCAGACGACGTCACCTAATGGTTACACCCTCGCTCATGGACATCGGCAATGGAAATTCAAGTCGTTTATTTGTTACACCTTCGAAAGTCTTTATTTTTTCTGAAAGTCCTAAGTTTTGAAGTTACTGGTGGTAGGACCTCTTGTGAGTCCGCACGGGTAGGTACCACCACCCTTCCCGTTCCAGTTTGAAGGGTGGGGCAGCTTTTGTAACTATACTTGAGAACTTATATTATCTCAAGGTAGGTGGCGGAATTTTCGTTATAGATGTCTATGGGCTTCGGTAACCACTAAACACCAGGTGGGATGTGGCTCGTCCACCAATCTATACAATAAATAAAAAAATCTGAAGCAGTACCCCCAACCCTTTGGCCATAGACATCAGACTTGTGCTGCCGCCTGAAATAAACTATAAACTACACTGAAACTCAATAAAAACACTTACTCGTGGATACTAACCCTGATAGTCACAATACATTACACAATATTAGGAAATTTCGGTAACAACTTAGCATTTTATTTTTATATTAGTATAGCTGTTGCAAAGTACGAGCGCGCGTGGCCTTTATTTGTGGTTGTAATCGTAAATACACATTTTATTTAGTGTGTGCACCCGACGGAGAGGTCAGTAGCTACATACAGCCTACATTGACGCGTATACAGATTGGTCACTCACACAACTAAGGGCGGCGCGCAGTCATACTTTTCAACAACTATATAGCATGTATTTTATTACTTTTTCAGGTCTATTGCCATAAGCAAGAGCGAGGATGACTATGGGAGGGCCAGTACTGAAGATAGCGCCCTCACCGGAACTTCAGGACCGGCGGTGGCTTGTGGAATAATAGGATACTTACATTAACCACACCATCTACTTATGTATATATTGTGTTCAATAAAATCTTATTCTTTTACTTATAATAATATAATTCAGTTGTATTGTGTGCATTTTTCATGGTTTATCTTTTCTCGTAGTTCTTAGAAAGGACAAAACTTATTATATTTACAGTTGTCAGTGCTTGTGTTCTCATTGATATGGCAACATTGAACAAAAATTTTTTCTTGCTATTCGTACCTTAAGGCGCATATCTAAATATTCTACCGTATCTCTATGGAGGGTAGAAGCAAAGATCACTATCTTGTATAAATATGACAAATTGAAAAGTATACCTGTAAACAGCAAATTATAGTTCGGAGACTCAACAAAATGGCGTTAGTGTAGGAGTTGAAAACGGTATGAACACAACAGTTTTAAACAGAGTGAAATGTGTTAATTTATGGGGCTGTTTTTAAAATATCTCCACTTGCTACTATGACGCCACCATAATTGGCTCCCGTGGCAGCGGACACTTTAATATAAAAAATGGTACTCTTTAGTTCTACCCTAGGATTAGGATGTTAGGATGGTAGGATATTAGGATGCTGCAAATACCGTGGACTGCCATGAGAACAGACGAGTCCATTCTAAGGCAGCTAGACATCCGAAAAAGGCTCTCTTCCATCTGCCGGGAACGTGTTATGAGCTTCTTCGGACACATCATGCGATCTCCCAAACATGAATTAGATAAGCTCATAATTGCGGGTCGCATAGAGGGCAAGCGCGCTGTGGGCAGAACACCAGCCAGATGGTCAGATTTAGCAAGAGAAGCACTTGGTGGTAGTCTGTACCACGCAGTCGCGATCCTCAGTAGTGAGGAAACGATATAGAAGAAGTTCTACCCTCCATATATGAGTCGACTATTATCAAAGCCGGCAATCTGACTTTTGGACAATGATTGATAAATCAGAAAACGAATTATTGACTTTGTATTCCATTGGCAGTTACAAAACTCTTCGGAACGACATCTTAGATAAATAACAGGTTAACTATTAACCTTTATTTAAGGCAGGTTTTGAACCGTACTCTTTGAAGGAGACGATTATATTCAAATCAATCTGTATTGACATATCAATAAATTTTTTTTGTCCAAATGCACAGATTGCCACCTTTGATAATAGACGACTCATATAGCTCTTACCGTGGGTCCGAACACCATTTTCATTTTTTTGACGTACCATATCCGACTCTGTCATCGAGCGGGCCGTATTTTGACCATTAGTAGCAATTAATAATCACCAGCCTGTAAGCTGCGTACAAATTTTACGAGACAACTTTTGTTATTACCGCGTCAACGACACGCTCCACGTTTTCGCGAGTACAGCGTTCAATAATGAAATATTGATTAAGTACGTACTCTAATTGAGTGCACACCTCATCTCACAGAGGCCGTTTCTGAAGGCCTGGCTTCCTGAGGTGCTGTCACTTTCCGAAAATCCCTCCCGCTCAAGTGGAAAACTCAACATTTTTATACGTAACTTGCTGACCCGGCAGACTTCGTAGTGCCTCAATCGATAAATAAAAGACCTAAACTTTTGCATAAACTTAAAACAAACAAAAGGAATGCGTCCGACAGGGGACACATCAAAGGAAAAACAAAATTGTTATTTTTATTTAATGCCGAGCATTTTCATATTTGTTTACCTTTTAAACCTTCTCTGGACTTCCACAAATAATTCAAGACCAAAATTAGCCAAATCGGTCCAGCCGTTCTCAAGTTTTAGCGAGACTAACGAACAGCAATTCATTTTTATATATATAGATTAATATTTGCTTAGTTAGGTACTGGTAGTAGGACCTCTTGTGAGTGCGCACGGGTAGGTACCGCCACCCTGCCTATTTCTGCCGTGAAGCAGTAATGCGTTTCGGTTTGAAGGGTAGGGCAGCCGTTGTAACTATACTGAGACCTTANTTGTATCACTATTATTTGCTACTATAGTTTGTAATTCATAATACATAAGGGTGGCATTGGGTTATCTTTTTTTTCTATAAAAAATATGACAATAAATATATACCCAACAGATTTGTTTATTAAAAAAAAAGTAAAACATACAAAAAAAAACAGTCGCGCATGATTTTGATCACGACTAAAAAACTGCACTTAAACTAACGTGATGTCCACTTAAATATAAATAAAGATCGTTAACCAAAATAAATACAAAACGGAACGACCTAGTACGTGTATACTTTTAAAACATGATTTCGAAAAGGACGCAAGTTATTTCATTGCTCTTCAATATTATGCTTTAGCACCCTGGAAGTACCGTTCATTAATGTAAGAACATGATAATTTTATGAAATCAATATGAATTTGTGTTCTTAAAAAAAAAACATTTCAAACAAAAATGTAAAATAAAGATGGCGTCAAAAAAGTCTGATGCGCGATGATGATGCGAAAAATCGCGCGTATTTATATAGTACACTCGATAATGAAAATTATCATGTTCTTGCATCATTGAAAATTAAGTCTTTTATTCTTTGAGGCCGATGGAAGCTATGAGACCTTCGACGATCTCGATGTAGGCTTTCTGGGCATCCTCCTTCGAAGTGCCGGCCAGTTTGTGCCAAGCGTCAAATTTGGCTTTACCCTTCAAGTCTAGAAGACCAGGTCTATCTGAAATCAACAATAATAACATTGTTAGGCGCTTAAACTCGGAATCTTAACTCTCCACCAAAACATACATTAAAACTCCATTTAATAATCACGACTCTTAAGGTAGATTTCGATTTAATAATTTATTTATTTCGCTTCAGATGATCCGTACGCCGTTTCGCTTGGAATAAAACTGATTACTGTCTTCATGTCGTCTTTGGAACTTCCAAAATTCTAGATTATTTACGAAAATTATAGACTTAGTTTTTTTTTTTATTGCTTTCATGGGTGGACGAGCTCACAGCCCACCTGGTGTTATGTGGTTACTGGAGCCCATAGACATCTACAACGTAAATGCGCCACCCACCTTGAGATATAAGTTCTAAGGTCTCAGTATAGTTACAACGGCTACCCCACCCTTCAAACCGAAACGCATTACTGCTTCTCGGCAGAAATTGGCCGCCCGTGCAGACAAGAGGTCCCACCACCAGTAACACAATTTTCTACAATTTTCCAGAACATTTCCGATGATACTAGATTCGTTTCGATATTCGACAACAGATCGTATCGGCATAACAATAATACATATAAGCAACAACGATAATCTTAAAATAGAAAATTAATATTCGTCTATACATATAGCCCGGTGTTTAGTAAAGGTCAAATTACTTTTTTTTTAGACGAATACTTTTTCCAGTCAATACTGCTCATGTTCAACGTTGTCAGAGAATAACAGAATAAACAAAATTATGTAACAAACATAAGGCTCGAAAAATAAATAAATAAGTAAAATATTAATGACTAGCCGTACTCGCCGGCATTTAAAATTGACATTATTATTTATTGTCATTATCATTAGGGAGTCCAACACTCATATAAATATTAGCCTATCCATTAAGTACATGTATTTTCTACATGGATACCAAGATTCAAGTCAATCGGATGCATGGTTCAGTAGTTATAACGGAACATCCGTAAAAACCACTGTAGATTTATATATTAGTATATAGTATAGATACATTAGAGATTTAGGCATTATGACTCGATGTGGGTTGTGGCATTGACATTGACGGTAATCACTTAACGCCAAGCGGGCCATGAGCTCAATCACCTATCTACGCAAAGAAAACCCTATATATTTTTACATATAACTAAACAAATACGAAACGCCAATATTACTGGTGGTAGGACCTCTTGTGAGTCCACGCGGGTAGGTACCACCACCCTGCCTATTTCTGCCGTGAAACAATAATGCGTTTCGGTTAGAAGGGTGAGGCAGCCGTTGTAACTGTACTTCGGACCTTAGAACTTATATCTCAAGGTGGGTTGCGCATTTACGTTGTAGATGTCTATGGGCTCCAGTAACCACTTAACACCAGGTGGGTCGTGAGCTCGTCCACACATTAAGCAAAAAAAAAACGCCACGCTTCGGGCATTCTCTGGTATTGCCTTTGGAAAAGGTAGCACGACGTAGTCACCTACAAGGTTTATCGTATTAATGCCATTTGATTCGATCCATAAATAACTGTACACAAGAAATAAATAGAAAATAACCCGCTTTCACCGAGCGAATCTTTGAATTAAACAGGTGTGCTGCTAATGAATATTAATGTTGCATACGCATACCGCGATGACTTGCCTTCAAAAACATTAAAACAACATTCTAGCATTAATACTATTTTATTTTTACCCGAAGGAGATATTTTCAATTTTACGCTTGTATATAAGATTTTTCGGCATGCTGTACGGTCTAAGCTATTTCACGGATTTCAACTTTTTTTTTTGCATTCCCTTCCGCCTGTAGCCTCGATGGGTCATTCTGGCTTCGCCGTGACTGGTGAATAGGTCATTTGACTCAGCCTCAAAAACTTTGTTAACATATTATATGCCCTAGGAAGAGCTCCTGCCTATTTCTGCTGCGAGACAGAGTGGTTTTTCCCTACATATTCGTTGGTAGCTTAAGAGGCTATTCCAACTTTTCAAGGACGGGTAGAGAACACTAGAAAGAGTAGCGCTTCGCTGAATCTACCAGCGGATTCCGAAAACGCGACCCAAACGCGATCGAACTCAGTAACTCAGAAGCTGGATTTTAACATAAGATATTTTATTAGATACGTCTAAATCACAATTGCGGTATGGGATAAGATAATTTCAATATGTTGTATGATTATTTATTTTTAAATCGAGTAACCAAGAAGCAAGAAATCCAACAAATGATTTAATGTAAGAAAAAAACCCAACCGAACCGACCGTTCGTTTGAAATATACATAGATTTTTTAGACTTTAGACATCGCATAGACAATACATTCGGTTTTTTTTTCTTTGATTATTCCCAACCGCAATACCTCTATTACTAACATAATTTAAAATGATATTTCTATGGTACAAATTTATACTTAATTTTTCATGTTTATTGCAAGGCACACTTTAAAAAAGCTAATTAAACTG